GGGGGGGGCGGTGGAGTTGGCGTCCTCTGTGACGTATAAAGTACGCGACGCGCCATGACGCTAAATGCGTGAGCCGCCATTATCGCTGAGCTCGGTGAGGCAGCGGTGGGCCTGCACCGGGGCGGGAGTCCGTGAGGGGGTGTGAGGCCTCTCTTGCGCCCGTACCCGGCGCACAGGGGGGGTCGGGGGGAGGCTGGAGCGACGGTGGGGACCTTGGGGCATCGACCTCGACGCCGGGAGGGGAGTACCCTGTGGTACCGGGAGGGGGAAGGCGTGGGGAAGCCGTTCCCCTCTGCTCTGAGGGGGTTGCTCCCTTCGTGCCCGCTCGGAGGTGAGGAGCGGCCAGGCGGCCGGTTTTCTCCTGAGGAAATACGGCGTTTTGGCCCCTGCGGGAAGGCTTTGCTGCGGCTGCTGCCGGTTGTCCCCCGGGGAGCGGCGCTGGCGTGGGGCGGGTCTCGTCGTCCTTGGGTGGCTGTTGCCCGTGCGATGGTTCGCACTCACAAGTTCGGGTTCTTGGCTTAACGCTGGGGAAGTTAAGGAAGGGCCACGAAGATGGTCAGAGGGCTGGAGCAGCTCTGCTCTGAGGACAGGCTGAGGGAGTTGGGGCTGTTCAGCCTGGAGAAGTCTCCGGGGAGACCTTATAGCCCCTTCCAGCACCTAAAGGGGGTACAGTGTTGGGAGGGACTCTATCAGGGAGTGGAGTGACAGAATGATGGGTAACAGTTTTAAACTGAAAGAGGAGAAATTTAGATTAGATATTAGGAAGAACTTCTTTACTGTGAGGGAGGTGAGACACTGGAACAGGTTGCCCAGAGAAGTGGTTGATGCCCCATCCCTGGAAACATTCGAGGCCAGGTTGGATGGGGCTCTGAGCAGCCTGATGTAGTTGAAGATGTCCCTGCTCATGGTGGGGGGGTTGGACTAGATGGCCTTCAGCAGTCCCTTCCCACCCAAACTATGATTCGCGGGTGGGTGAGGCTGTGGTGAGCAGTGTTTGCCCATGTGATGTAGTTCTCAAAGGCACTCTTGAACTTCTAGCTGATTTCTGGGAAATGTGTTGCTAGAGCTGTGGGGTGGCAGCTGGTACTGCAGGGGTCCTTTCTTTGTTTCTAGCCTTTGCTGCTTTCCTCTTGTTTCCAGCAATTGCAGCTCCCAGGAACAGGTTGGGTCCAATTGAGGCATCTTGCTAGTTGCAATTCTGTGACTGTTTTAGTGTTAAAATACTTTTTGAAGTTGCCTTTGAGGTGGCAATTGGTTATGCCACTGTAAGAGTGGACAGATAATCAAAGAAAAAGTTCTGCCTAGCCTACATAATCAATTAAAAAAATTAAAAGGCATTTTTAAGTTTTGAAGAACCGTAATAGGATTTGCCTAGGATTTGTACTCTCTCATTGGTGAGGAAGTGCAGCTGGAATGTATGATCTTACAAAGATGGTACTGGCCTAATTTTGTTGTAAAAGTGTATTGAGCACTTTGGGACTAGTGGGAAGAAACAGGATGAGAAAATTCTTTGTGAACTGTTTTGCTCCATCTCCAGGAGGGTTTCTAAATCACACCAGAAGAAGCTGAAACAGCTCTGATCTAGTCATCATTTACTCACAACTGGAAAATCCTGCTCCACTTCCATGAGAGAAAGCTCAAGTTGTCAGGGCCGAAATTCTCCTGCTGTTTCAGGCAGTGTGTCTTCCTAACTTAAATCTCTTCTAACTTCTCTGTGGAGTGCTTTCCAGTTCCAGGGGATGCACCCTGCTTCCTAATACCCTGGGAACAGGCTGCCTTTGCTTGGTGAACTGGTTTTGTTTGAATCCGGAGCTGGCAAATTCACAAGTAACCTCAGCCATCTTCCATTCTGCACCAGAGAGCACAGCAGCCTGTGCTTTGTTTGGCTGTAGTTTATCCAAAAAATTCTGTTTGGTTTTTTTTCTTGGTTGTGGTGTCTCAGCCCTGAGGTGCCTTGCAGGGAATGGTTACTATGCTGTTATAACAGCTGGTAAACACCAGATAAATTTGTCAAATTAATGAGGGCTGTGTTGACCAGAGATAGCAGTAGATGTGCTCTTCTGTTCCAAGTCACTGATCTCCATAAAACTAGTCTGAACTTTCCTTCCCAGAAGGAAGGACTTTAAGAGGTTTTCCTGTTTGTTTGTTTTTTTCTCATTTTTTTTCTTACTGACATGTGAACAAGAGAATAACATGTAGAAAAGCATTTTAAGTTCAAGGTAGTGATCCTCTGTAACCTTGTTCTAGCCTGATGATAACAGCTTGTCTCTATACAAACTACTGACTGTTCTTTTTGTTCTTTTTTTTTTGGATGTAAAAGTAACAAATGTGGAAAAATGAATAAAATGGATTTGCTAACTACTAGTCTGCAGAACAAATATCCCCAGTGGATGCTTACACAAAACCAAGTTTTGGGTGATAAAAAGGTATGTCATCACATGGGGGAAACTTAATTCGTTGCAGGCTGCATGATAGCACAGCGTTGGACAATGTGAGTTTAGTTAGGCTTGTGCCTTTGATATTTGTGAATGTTTACAGCTGTTTTGTCCTATAAACAGTAGCCAAATTTAGGTACTCTGGTGTTACTACTGGTTGAATTAGCTTTTTAAAGTAGCTTCTTTTTTTAATTAAAGTACCATGTATGGACCAAAGGCTGCTGCTATGACCTTTGTTGAAATTTCTTCCTGACAATCTGAATCTTGATAGCAAAAGCACCAAAGTATAAGGATGCTTTTGGTGCATTGCGCACCCGGTGTAGTGAGCTGTACACCAGCAGGGACTGGGGATTTTTCATGTGTTTAATTTGAAAGCACAAGTTGTGGTCTGACAGGGGAGTTTGTTCTGGTAAGGCCCTCTGCCTTTCTGCATTCGTTATTTCAGAGTTTTCAGAAGAATTAATTGCTCATCAAGATTATGTTGAAATTTCTGGTGTTCTAAGAATGTTAATGTGTCCTTGGATGGTTTTTTTTCTGCATATATGAGCAGTCTCAGTTTAAAATTTCTCACTAGAAGTCCCCTCTGTAACATCAGAAACTGCTTTGACAATTAGAAAACTAATTAATGAGAGAAAAATGGAAGACTCAGTTCAGCAGTTTCCCTTCTATAAAGTGGGAGTAAAAAATTAGCAGCATGGATATTAAAAAATGTCAGTTAAAACCAACATGAGTTTCATTGGCTGTGGTACCGCCTGTACGGTGGCAGCCTGCTTCAACAAGCATTTTGAGGAAGGGTTTTGATTAAACTTTCACCCTTCATTAAACTGGAGGAAATGTTTTGTTGTGCAAGCATAAAATCATCACTATCTCTGTTTGTTTCAGAATCTCCCTCTTCCAGGCAACTAATTGTTCCTGAAACTGTATTAAAACCACTTCTGTGGCCTCTTTTGACAAGATTGTTTTGTTCTTTGAGTGTTATTGTGTGATACTTAACCATATTTGCAATTAGTTGCATCATAGCTTACTTGTATATGTTTAAGCAACCTAAAGGTTTTTCAGGCAGCTCAATGCTATCAGAAGTTTTGCAGTTCAAGTAAGTTTCCAGTCAATAACTTTAGGTAAAAACGCTTCTGAAAGGGGGGGGAAATGCTAACTGGAGTGTTACGGTTCACCTTACTTCGTGTGCTTAAAGCTTCAATTTGTAAACCAGAGGATGGAGGATACTGGTCCTTTTAAATATTGCACATAGTTATAAATCTGTGGAGTTTGCTTAGACCTTTGTGAAGTGCCTCACACGTTGTATCTGGCAAGGTTAAGTGAAGTGGGGTGGCTGAAATGTGGGACCAAGGAAGGGGGTAACAGCTATTGCATACAGCTG